GTCGGCGGACATGGCGACCGCGCTGCTGGCGGGCGAGAAGCTGCGGGAGCTGATCCTGCCGGGCGCGCAGGACGACAAGGCGGGCGCGCTGGCCGCGCTGCTGCTGCAGCTGAAGCTGGAGCTGCCGTTCGACCGCGTGGTCACCATCGGCACCGTGCTTGTCCCCATCCTGCTGGTCACGCTGGTCTTCACCAAGAACTTCGCAGGTGAGCCGGCGGCGCGGGGCGCGCGGGCGGGGGCGTCCGCGGGCGTCGGGCGCAGGGGCTTCCCGTGCGTCTCCGGCCGCTGCTCCCGCCAGCCACGCCCACCGCGGTCCGGCCGCGTCCCGGGCCTCCCGACAGACCTCGACACGCGCCCGTCCTCGCGGGTGTCCCTGTCGCTGAGGCCGCCTCCCAGGCCCCTCTTCTGTTTATTGTTTTCCTGAACCCGGGTGGGACCGGGCCTGTCCTGGTGCGGGTGGTCCCAGCTGGCAGAATGTCACGGGGGTCTGGGGGTTGGAGGAGCGGCCAGGCGTTGGAACGGAGAGCCGATGCCAGGAGGTGGCGGAGACCCCGCTGCTGGACAGGGCCCGCGGTCTGCACGCGGTGGGAGCAGGTGGGGGTCTCCGCAGCGGGTCCTAGCCGTCCGGTGGAGGCGGAGGCGGAGCCGCAGCTGGAGCAGGTGCAAGAGGGGCCGGACCGGCAGGGGCAAGGAGGGAGGGACGACAAAGGGACATCAGAAGATGTTGAAGCCGGGTCAGCATGACGTGGTCCGGTGAGGCCTGAGCTGTGGGGGCTCCTGGAGGTCCTCCTAAGGCCTGCGCCTCGCCGTCCCCAGGAGGGGCCGGGTGGAGAGGTGGGGTCTGGGCCGAGGGCCTGGGCCCCGTGGGCTGCACTTGTGGCTGCAGCGGGGTCCTCGGAGCAGCATGGGCAGACGCTGTCTCGGTGTTGGTTCTTCACGAACCTCCGAAGACGCTGTACCTTTTAGGAGTCCCCGGTGACCTGGAGATGCCAGACCTGAGGGTGGGGGTTGCTGGGGTTGGACAGCCCGGACGTTGGGTGGAGGAGGCCTCTGCTGGCCTCGCGCCTTGGACACCGGTGCCCAGGCCCTCAGAATCAAAGACCCTCCACCGTCACGCACGGGGCCGGCACAGACCCTGCTGGTCTCCTTTGGTGGCTGTGGCAATGACGTGCCACAAACTAGGGGGCTTGAAACAGCAGAAAGTTCTCTCCCGTAGTTCTGCAGCCTGGAAGTCCAAACTCCAGGCCTCGGCAGGGAGGACCTTTCCACCTCTTCAGACTCTGGCGTCTCCCTGCCATCGGTGGTGTCCCTGGGCTCGTGGCCTCAGGACCCAGTCTCTGCCTCTGTCTTCACACGGGCACCTTCTGCGTGTCTCTGTCCAAATTTCCCTTTTCTCGTAAGGATAGAAGTCAAGGGACTGGGCCCCCCTGGACCCGGTGTGATCTCAGACCGTGCCTGGTCAGCGTGGCTGAGGTTTGCCCAAGGAAATCTTGTCTCAAATCACAGAAAAAGCTGGGGGTGGTGGAGGCCTAGCTCCTCTTCTCTGTCGACGGGTGGCCTCCATGCAGTGCCACATCCCATCTGCCACCCGTTTTTCTCTTGCTTCCGTCAGCGCCGGGTACACAACAGTGGCCTCCCGGGCCCCGTCCACCTGGGGCACTGCCGTCTCCTGGGAGCTGCCCCTGGTGCCTCACTCGGACTCATCTTGGGTCCCTGGATCATGGGCCAATTCCCAGGGTGAGGTCAGAAGCTCTGAGCTTCCAGGAGGGGCGCCCCCGCCCCATCCCGTCCAGACGAGAGCACACCCAAGGACTAGCGCCAGGGTTCTGAGAGGCGCTTGCCCTGAGGGGCCCCGTGGCAGCATATGTGTGCGGGTCTGAGCACAGGGAACCGGTGCAGAGCCCTGGGGTGAGCCCTGCTCCCCCCGCCCGGCTGAGCTGTCCAGCCTCGGCAGGTCCCGGGTGCAGGCGCACGGGGCAGAGTTCCTCGGCGACCCAGTGCCCGAGTCCTTGCGGTGTGCCCCCGTCTGCTCATGGGGACACGAGGGCGGCCACATGCCATCACCCACGGGGTTATGATGAGGAGAGCACAGAGCCTGGAACCCACCCAGAGAGACGCCAGGGCCTGGCGCCCCCTCTCGGGAGGGCCCTGCTGTTTTAGGAAGAGCCTCCCCCACGGCCCTGGTGGTCCCACAGAGCACGGAGCTGGCCGCAGGAGGGTGGACTCTGGAAGACACCGAGCCCCTCCTGGAGACCAGCTGGCAGTGGGGGCAGGGCTGCCGTGAAATGGTCCCCCCCGCCTAGAACGCACCCAGGGCTGCAGAGCCTGGACACAGGGACACAGGGACAGAGAAGGTCACCAGATTCCTCGGACCCCGAGGGGGGACCAACAATTGCTTTTTCTTAGAACAGCCAGGTGATTGGTTCTCGGACCACATGATTTGGGGTATTTCCGGATAGAATCGGCCGGTGTCTCCAACCCACAGTAGAGGAGGTGTCGCCGGAGCCTGTGCTCTCCCAGCCCAGCCCTCTAACCGTTTTTCCAAAACGGAAAGGCGGCGGGTGTTTCGCACCGCCCGCTCCGAGCAGTGTGCACGCAGCCGTGCAAGCCGGGTCCTCCCGGGGGTCTCAGGGGCCCGGGAAGGCAGGTCTGGGCCCGGCCGCTCTCGGGATGTGGCCGAGTCCCCAGGTCCCCAGGGTGTGCCCGTGAGGAGTGGAGACCCTACCCCTACCCCCGGCCCAGCCAGCCCAGGAGGAGCTGGGGCAGCCCCCCGGGGGAGCACTGGATCCTCCATCCACCCGCTTCTGTAGCCTCTGAGGGTCAACCCTCTCCCCCCAGGTGGGGTCTCACCCCCGCAGGGCCCCCAGCCCTGGGAGGACACTTGTTCACGCCACTGGGGCAGGTGCCAGGGTGGGGAGGGGTCTCACCCGCAGCCTGCAGAGGGGGCAGACTGCTAGTAAGTGGCAGCCCCCGCCCCCCCACCCCATGTTCTTCCTGTGCTGACAGAACAAACCCAGTGGCTTAAAACACCTTAATTCCGTGGGCCAGGAATCTGAACCGAGTCCACGGGGCTAAAGTCGGGTGTGGGCAGGGGCACCTCCTTGCCGGAGGCTCCTGGGAGAGCAGCTGCCCTCTCGCCTCCCCCCTCCCTGGGGCGCTGTCGTCCCACTGGACAGTCCGAGACCACCCCCCCAACAAGATCTGTGTTCTAGATCCCATCTGCAGGGTGACGTAGCTGCGGGTCCCGTGGCTGACGTGGGCATCTTTGGGGCCGTTATCCCGCTGGCCGTGGGAGTCTGGGAGGGGCAGGGCCTCCCCGGTGAGGGGCTGGGAGGAGGCAGCAGGGGTCTCGGGGTGACTGGGACGGGGTCCGGCCAGCAGGAGGGAGCAGCATCTGCAGAGCCAGGTGGTCCTGGGGGTGTCCCCACTGCCCAGGTGGAGGGAGCCGCGGGACTGTGCAGGCCGCCCCGCAGGGACAGGCGAGATGTACGTGGAGCTGGTGGGACCTGAGCCAGGGCAGGGCTTCCGCCTAGGCCTGGGGCCGTGTGGAGTGTGCCCAGACGCCAGCCAGCGCAGGTTTGCTCTTCCCCAGGCTGCGTCTGTCACCTGGCTCTCCTGACCTCTCTGTGGCATTGTCAAGGGTCATGTGGGCACCTGGCTGCCAAGCCGGCTCCTTGGCCGGGAAGCCAGCATGTCCTCTCTTTCCGGGTCCATGCAGCACTGCCCTCCGAGAGAGGAGCTCTCGGGGGCGGCTCTGTCTATGGTGTCGCGATGGGCCAGGCCCTCATGCCTCCCACGCAGACCCTGCTGGCCTGGGCAGGGCCCCGCTGTCCCTGGGAGATCCCAGAGCAGGAGCCTTGGGCAGAGGCCTCCTGGAGCCACAGTGTCTGGGACAGGCCCACAGACCGCGATCCAGTGCCCTGCGTCCCCGAGAGCTCAGCGGCACCCCTGCCGTCGCCAACACCCAGTGCTGGCAGCACCCTCCGCGCCAGGGGCCGACCTTGCCCGGCCAGTACGTCCTTGGGTGCCTGCTGTGGGGCACCGTGTGCCTCTGCAGGTTCAGGCAGATCCCGGGAGGAGGGTGGCCGTGCTGGGTGTTCCCCCAGGGGTCCCTGGGGCTGGGCCTCCCCTGCAGTGCCTCTGCAGAGCCACATCACTGGCCATCCTAGACTGAGCAGATGAGGAAATTGAGGGTCAGAGTGGCCAGCTGGGGCTGGTCTTCCCTTGCTGCTGCCACCAGGCAGACAGGAGATGGCAGCCGGCCCGAGGAGCCCCCATCACCCGTGGAGGCAGCACGCCAGGCGCATGGGGGCAGTGGGACCTGCCTTCATCCGGCTTGGGGGAGGACAGGCCACTCCGTGCCCCAGAGCGAGGAGCTCGTTTCCCTGTGGCCCCCAGAGCTTGGGCCAGGGGTTCTGGGGCCTCCTGGACCCACACCAGGCACCCAGCAGGGAGGCTGGGCTCAGGGCAGGAGACAACCCTGTCCCTGTTCTCTCCCACTTCTCTGGCCCCTGGGATTGGCTGTAAGGACAAAAACTAAGTAAATAAAATACGATTTTCTCAACCGAGAGAGTTGATTTCTTTGCCTTTTCCGATTTTCTCTTCTCTGAGCCCTGCTCGCTGAGGATGCGGGCATGGGCCCTGCTCTCCAGCCCATTGTCTCCTGTGGACATGGTGGCTTTGTCCCAGAGCCCCTGCCCCGCCCCCGGCCTAAGCAGAGCTCACTGTGGCCTGACCCCGCCCACATCCCCAGGCCCCTCCCCCGGCCGAGGTCTGAGCCCCGCTGTGGGCACCTGTGCGGGGAGGTGGGTGTGGGGGGCGCACCCAGGCCTCGGACCCTGGGCCCTCCGAGTGCCACTCTGGAGAAGCGTTCAAAGGTGAGGTGCCCGTCAGGCGGGCCTGGCGCTGGGCTGAGGGCGGCCAAGTGTCCCCAGCACCCTGGCCACTGGCCAGTGCCCGTCTCTGCAAGCGGGATGGGCGTGTGAGGAGACTACAAAGCTCAGGAGCGACCTTTGCCTGCAGTCGGGGGAGCCCCCCCCCGTGCCGTCTCAGCGGCAGCAGTGCAGGCTGGCGAACCTTCCAGCTGTGCCCACCGGCACCCAGGGCCCCCGCGGGCCCTTCCCCGGGACACCAGGTCTTAGGGGACACCCCTGCACGCAGACAGCCCACGGGGTTTCCTTGGGAGCTGTGCTGCCACAACCACCGCTGGGCAGGTAGGACCGTCCGAGCCCCCCCCTGCTTCCTCCCGGGAGTCTCGGGCAGCGTGAGGCCAGCGGCCGGGACGTGGCCTAGTGGCGTGGCGTGTCCGGGGACATGGTTCCCCTGTGCACCTCTGGAGAGGGCCTCGAGGTGGGAGGTTTGTGCTGAAGCTACCGCTCGTGGGTTACTCAGGGTGAGACCCTCACACCACCGCGGCAGGACGCGGAGGCAGCCGGCCCGGGAGAGGTGGGGGCTGCGTCGGGGAGCAGCGGCCGCCGTGGGAGGAAGTGACCAGGCCCTTCCCCCGCCCCAGCCCTGTCTCCTCTCTGCCCCCAGAGGAACCCATTTACTGTTACACCCCGCACAACTTCACCCGCGACCAGGCGCTGTACGCCCGCGGCTACTGCTGGACGGAGCTGCGGGACGCGCTGCCCGGCGTGGACGCCAGCCTGTGGCCGTCGCTGTTTGAGCACAAGTTCCTGCCCTACGCGCTGCTGGCCTTCGCCGCCATCATGTACGTGCCCGCGCTGGGCTGGGAGTTCCTGGCCTCCACGCGCCTCACCTCGGAGCTCAACTTCCTGCTGCAGGAGATCGACAACTGCTACCACCGCGCGGCCGAGGGCCGGGCCCCCAAGATCGAGAAGCAGATCCAGTCCAAGGGGCCCGGCATCACGGAGCGCGAGAGGCGCGAGATCATCGAGAACGCGGAGAAAGAGAAGAGCCCCGAGCAGAACCTGTTCGAGAAGTACCTGGAGCGCCGCGGCCGCAGCAACTTCCTGGCCAAGCTGTACCTGGCGCGGCACCTGCTCATCCTGCTGCTCAGCGTGCTGCCCATCTCCTACCTGTGCACCTACTACGCCACGCAGAAGCAGAACGAGTTCACCTGCGCGCTGGGCGCGTCCCCGGACGGGCCGGCGGGCGGGGGGCCGGCGGTGCGCGTCAGCTGCAAGCTGCCCTCCGTGCAGCTGCAGCGCATCATCGCGGGCGTGGACATCGTGCTGCTCTGCTTCATGAACCTCATCATCCTCGTCAACCTCATCCACCTCTTCATCTTCCGCAAGAGCAACTTCATCTTCGACAAGCTGCACAAGGTGGGCATCAAGACGCGCCGGCAGTGGCGCCGCTCGCAGTTCTGCGACATCAACATCCTGGCCATGTTCTGCAACGAGAACCGCGACCACATCAAGTCGCTCAACCGGCTGGACTTCATCACCAACGAGAGCGACCTCATGTACGACAACGTGGTGCGGCAGCTGCTGGCCGCGCTGGCCCAGTCCAACCACGACGCCACGCCCACCGTGCGCGACTCGGGCATCCAGACCGTGGACCCCAGCGCCAACCCGGCCGAGCCCGACGGCTCCACCGAGCCGCCCGTGGTCAAGCGGCCCCGCAAGAAGATGAAGTGGATCCCCACCAGCAACCCGCTGCCCCAGCCCTTCAAGGAGCCGCTCGCCATCATGCGCGTGGAGAACAGCAAGGCCGAGAAGCCCAAGCCCGTGCGCAGGAAGACGGCCACGGACACGCTGATCGCCCCGCTGCTGGACGCCGGTGCGCGCGCCGCCCACCACTACAAGGGCGGCGGGGGGGACGCGGGCCCCGCACCGCCCCCGGCCCCCGACAAGAAGCACGCCCGCCACTTCTCCCTGGACGTGCACCCCTACATCCTGGGCACCAAGAAGGCCAAGCCTGCGGCAGTGCCCGCTGCCCTGCCCACCTCGCGGAGCCAGGAAGGCGGCTTCCTGTCCCAGGCAGAGGAGTGTGGGCTGGGCCTGGCCACAGCACCCACCAAAGGTAGGGGCCGGGCGGGGCCGGAGGGCGGGGTGGGCCAGGGCGCCAGGGAGGGGCACCTGCAAACCCAACCTCCCAAACGCGGCTCAGACGGAGCCGGGGCAGGCAGGTGCGGTAACGCGAAGGTGAGTCCAGGCCGGGGGGCGGGGCGGGACCCCGAGGAGCAGCAAGTGAGGAGGATGAAGGCAGGACAGGCCCCCGACTCATCTTGGCTGCCTTGGTTGAGTAAAGCTCCAGGCAGGCCGAGTCCGGGAGGAAGCCTGGCAAACGGGCACAGAGCCGGGACAGCCAGGGGTCGGCGCGGGCGGGCTGCCGCGTGCAGGGGCGTCGTGGAACAGCCCCGGCCTGCCCTGGGCGGGCGCTGGGAGGGCCACCGCGTGACACGCCTGTGTTCTTGGCCGTTTGCAGAGGCTCCGCTACCTGAGACGGAAATCCCGTACCCCGCAGAGCCGGCGCGGGCAGGGCTTCCCTCTGGGGGGCCGTTCCACGTCTGCTCGCCCCCCCTGGTCCCCACGGCAGCCCCTCTGTCACCAGCCGGCCTGGGCAAGGCCGAACCCCTCACCATCCTGAGCCGAAACGCCACGCACCCTCTGCTGCACATCAACACGCTGTACGAGGCCCGGGAGGAGGAGGAAGGGGGTCCCCGGGTGCCCCAGGACGTGGGCGACCTCATCGCCATCCCCGCTGCTCAGCAGATCCTCATAGCCACCTTTGACGAGCCGAGAACAGTCGTGAGTACCGTGGAGTTCTGAGGGCTGCCTGAGGCCCGCGGCCCCAGGGTGTGGCCCCCGCCTCGCGTGGACTCGGCCTCGGCTTCGCCCGGCGCCGCCCCAGCCTCCGTCCGCGTGCTTGGGGGCTCGACAGGGAGCCGCCCCGCGGCAGTCGCAGCGCTGGCTGGGCCGGGGCAGGTGGTGGCTGGGGGAGCCGCCGCCCCACCCCCGGACCCGGCGCCCGGCGGTGGGAGGGGCTGCGGGACGAAGAGTTTATTTTTTTAGTTGATTTTTGTCCGGGGCCCTGGCTGCGGCAGGATGGCCCAGCTCTCCCCGCTCAGCCACTCCAGCCCGGGGTGGGCCAAGAGGAAGGTGGGGGTGGTGGCACCAGCCACGCCCAGGGGCCACATGCTCAGGGGCTCACCCCTCAGGGGGCGATGCCCTCCGTGGCCGGGCCGCTGGCCTCCTCGGGTCAGAGCGAGACGTGCACTTTCTCCTTGTCGCCTGACATGGTTCTATTTTACTGTGATTACTGTAACTGACCACACTGATCATCAGGAGACTCAGACGGCTGGTGCGTGTGCGTGGTGAGTGCGGGCGTGCGCGGCAGGGTTCCGTGTGCGTGAGCAGGTGTGGGTGCAGACGTGCGCCTGGGCACGTCTGAGCCTGTGTGTGTGTGAGTGCGAGCCGGCGTGGGCCACGTGTGAGCGAGGCAGCGAGTCCAGTGCAATAACCACGACCCCCACCCGGGGCCCCGGCTGCCTGGCCCAGGCCCACCCTCTCCCCGTGGAGCCGGCCGGCGCCCTGCGGGTCCCGCCCATTACCTCAATTAACAAGGTAGCACCGAACAGATCAATAAATACTATTCTGATAACCGCCTGTGCTCCGCCTCCTGCCCGAGCTCCGGGCCTGTGCCCTGCCTCACCGGCGTCATGGGGGTGCCCGGGAGAGGGGGGCTGCCTGCACCCGGAGTGTGAGGAGGGGCGTGGGAGGCCCCTCTGCCCCTGCGGGTCTCCCTGGGGCCCGCTGCACCCACGGCGAGGCGGGGCACACGGCTGCCCCTTGTGGAGTGGGACGTGGAGGGGACTCAGGTGCTAAACCCCTGGGCTCTTGGGCTTGGGGACAAACGCACGACCCCCCAGTAAGACATCCCATTGGTCGTCCTGCCCCTGAGGGTGGGGGAGTGTGAGGTAGACCAGGAGCTCGGGGAGCTGCAGGATGGGGAAGGCTTCCCAGAGCGGGCACCTTCGTGCGGCTGGGGGTGCAGGGAACTCAACGCCAGGCCGAGTGGTTGGTGACACAAAGCTGGTCCCTGGGTGTCCACGGAGCCAACTTGCCCTGCAGGCCACAGCAGTGACCCAGGGGTCTGAACAGAGGCTGGGGGTGGTCACAGGGCACGAAGGGGGAGGTCAGAGTAGGCCCACCTGTGCCCAGCCTGGTCCTCGCAGATGCTCTGCCCTGGGGCAGCCCTGGGGTGTGCAGGGCAGGGCTCCCCCAACATTCCCAACTCGGGGTGAAGTGACCACCCTCACTGCAACGGCCGGTGCGGCCACCACAACTGAGCCCGGCAGTGAGGCACGCAGATGCAGACTGGAGGCTGCATCCCTGTTTTAGAAAGGAGGCTTTATTTATTTTCTGTTTATCTTATCTTTTTTTGAGACAGGATTTCACTCCGTCTCCCAGGCTGGAGTGCAGTGGCGAAATCACAGCTCACTGTAGCCTCAAACTCCTGGGCTCAAGCGATTCTCCTGCCCCAGCCTCCCAAGTAGCTGGGACTACAAGCACCACATCTGGCTCATTTTTCTTTTTTGTAGAGATTGGGTCTTGCTATGTTGCCCAGGCTGTTCTCCCACTCACCTGGGCCTCCCAAACTGCTGGGATTACAGGTGTGAGTCACCACACCCAGCCCCAGAATGGAAGTGTTGTTACCATTCGGGTGTGGTGAGGCCAACCAATCAAGAGACAGCTGCCATGGAAAAGATAGTCACCCAGATCCCCAGAGAAGGGGCAGCCCAGGCCTCACGGGGCCTGTCACGGGCCGAGGGGGCGAGGTGAGGGGAGATGTGGGCAAAGCCTGTGCTGTGGTTTCCGGGAAGGAGCGGGCCGGGCAGGGCCAGCAGCCGCAGGAGGGGCTGGTGTGAATGACCTCAGCTGGTGTGGGCAGGGGCTGTGCCTGGCTGCCTGGCCCCTGGCCCCAGAGTGTGAGACCCAGAGAGCAGGCGCGGGCTCTGGATCGGGTGGTTTGAAGGGCCAAAGCGTCAGAGGTCAGAGCACTGGAAGTACAGAAAATAAGAGGCATGGTTAGGACACCCTGACCCAGGACACGCCCCCCAGCCAGGCTTCCCGGGTACTCGGCCTTCCCACGTGCCCAGGCCAGCCTGTTCCCACAGTGGGGGAGCCTGTGGCCCCTGGCAGTACCCCTCTCTCTGGGTCCCAACCTGCAAACCGGCTCCACCAGGATGGAGAGGCAGTCACGGAAGCTGAGGTGACCCAAGAGAACCCGCGTGACACTGGCCTTGGGTGACACCATTTGCCTGGGCTTCTGTGCCGCCCCATCACACGCACATATCCGCCCCTGCCTGCACCCATCACCCCTGCCCAGGGGCAGCCCCCAACTCCTCCTGCAGGCAACCCCAGAGTCCCTCAGGGCGCCTGCTGGTCTGGCAGTGTGGCAAGTCCAGCGCCTGCTTCCCTGCTGGTAAAGGGAGGTGCCCCAGCCACAGCGCATCCAGGCAGGGGCTGAGGACGCTGGCCGCTGAGCTTGAGCAGAGCAGGGCAGACAGGGCCACCTGAGTATCTGGTGGGACCAGGGCCAAGGGCAGTGGCCACCCTACCCACCCTCTTCTCTGGGCCACGGCCGGACAGCACGTCTCAGACCAAGTCTTGTCTGAGGAGTTGGTGCTACGAGTGAACACTACCCTTGCCATGTGGCGCCGACTCTGTGCAGGGCCTTTGCTGGGGAGGAGACAGCCTGAGTCAGCGTCCTGCAAACATCTGGCTGCAGGCGCTGGGGACGCGAACGTCCTGCCTCTCCCAGGCGAACTTTGCCATCTTACCCCAGACCCCCAGACCTGTGTCCCCGTGAGCCATGCGAGTTCCTGGAAGGAGAGGCCTGAAAAGGCGGTGCTGGCCCCTTGGGGTAGGGTACGGGATGAACAAGCCCCAAACTCCTCGCCCTCCTGGGGCCCCCTCCTCTGGCCTCTGCCCCAGACGCCTGCCTCTGTGGCGTCTGTCCAATTCGGGATGATGCATCCTGCCCCATGTCAGACCCAGCCCTTCCTCAGTGTCACCCCACGAGGCTGGCAGGGACAGGAGGTCCCTCTGCAGCACAAATGGCTTCAAACCAAGTGCTTCACTGTTCCCAAGGGCCTCGGGGCCACCCTCTGGCACGGCACAGGGCCCTGGTCACTGCTGCTCTGGCCACCCCTCACCCCCCCATGGCTCACTCAAGCAGCCCCTCCTCTGGCTGCTCGATGAACACAGGGGTCTCCAGCACGGCCAGGCCCCGGGGTCGGGGGGCGCTTCCTCCACAGCCACCTGGCCGCCATCCCTGAGGCGCCCCGTCCACTACCCTGCCGCGCAAGGAACCCAACCTGCCCAAACAGAAGCTTGCTTGGAAACAGATCTTTAGGAAGCCAAACTTCTCCTGGCATGTTGTTCTCCCAAGCACAAGGACCTGCCTCAGTTTCCCTGCCAACGTGGCTGAGCACTGTGGTGGGGCTCAAGCCCTGCCCTCTGCTGGTTCCCGGCCCTCGCAGGCTGTGCAGCCCTGCAGGGATCGGAGGACAGTTCTATTTTCTCCTCCACTGCCCGCTGCCTGCCAGGGCTGGGGTCTCGGGTGTCTTCCTCCCAGCAGGCCACCCTGCCCTGGTGAGTGCAGGAGGGCGGTTCTGGCAGCCCCGGGGCACCGTTCATATGCAATGCCGTCCTCCCTCCGGCTCCCTCCAGCCCTGGGTAGGGGCAGTCAGGGCAGGTGGGCACCACCGTCCCCCTCATGGAGGAGGAGGGGCTCTGGAAGAACCCAGACCGCAGGCCAGGCCTCTGCCCACCACTCCAGCCCCTCGCTGGGGGTTTCAACCAGACTCACAGCAGACGCAGGGAACGTGGCCCAGAGTGGACCTCGGTGCTCCACCTGGTAAATGAGTGGGGTGAAGCTGGTGATCTGCTCTAGACCCTCTGCCCTCCTGGGCCAATGTGGCCCAGACGGTCGGGAAGGCAGAAATGACCACGAAGTGCAGGCACAAAGGCAGCGACCAGTAGCAATGGTGAGGAGAACCGGAAGCGGGCGTCCTTCAGCAAGGAGGACAGAGGCCGCTCTGAGGCCAAGCCAGGCCCTGCAGGGCCCAGGAAGCCGAGTTGCGGGGGGCAGCCAGCCTAGCCTGGTGCAAGGAGGGGACAGGGATACAGTCTCAGCCACCACACCCTAGGGGGCCACCTGCAGACTCAGGACGTGGGAACCTGTGACCACCAGCGCCAGGAGCAGCTCCGCAGAAGCCTGGGGCTGGGGCCAGCCCTCCTGGAACCGAAAGGAAGCCGCCAAGAACTGGCCTGGGGCCGGGCGCCCCTTCCCCCAGGCCTGGTGGGCAGTCCCTCCACTGCCAGCAGGGACCCCTGCTCTGGGCAGGCATTTTTTGGGCTCATCTGGCTCCAGAGAGCGGCTGGTCCTAAGGCCTTCAAGTCGAAAGGGCCCCCTCCCTCTTCTAATGGGCACCTGGGCACCTGGCTCCTTCCCCCAACTCCAGCACCTGGGCAGGAGGACAGGACAGAGACTGGCCCCAGGGCCACCAAGAAGCCAGCGCTGTCCAGGACACAGCTGTGGGTGGCCCCGGCGATGGGGCAAGGCAGCCTGCCGACCCCAGGCGCGGGTCGCTGGAGCTGCCGCAGTCGTCCGCGCCGACCACCGGGCAGTGCGTGCAGCCCCGGCCCACCGGAGCTGAAGGCCAGCGGGCGAGCCGCGCCCCCGGGGGCTGGGGGACCGGGTGGGGCCGGGAGGCGCTCGGGGAGGGGGGCTGGGGGGTCGGGGGTTCGGACCACTCTGGCCAAGGCTTGGGGGCCGGGGGGCCGGGACGCGCTCGGGGCTGCCCGCCCGCACAGTCCCGCAGCCCCGTCTCCACGCCCCAGGGTCGGCCATGTGGGCGGTCGCAGCCAGCTGGGTCCCCGAGGGACCGCGGCGCTCCATACCCCAGATGGCAGCGGCTTGGGGACGCCAAGCGCGCAGGCCCGGGAGCCCCGAGACCCCCGCCTCGCCGCTCGGGCCCTCAGGGTTGGGCCCCGGGCTCGGCCAGGTTGTCCTCAGGCCAAGGGGCGTGACCTCCGGGGACCCCCGCCCACGGGCCGGCCTGGTCCCCGCTGGGGCGTGCGACCCCCGGAGAGGGGCCTGGAAGGGCCGGGTCGAGGCCACGCTGGCGCGGTCCCAGAGCCCGCGAGCCCCGCGCAGCCCACGATCGGCCGTCCCGGTCGTGCGGGATTGACGGTTCACAGAACACTTGTGTTTCAACATCACTTGACGCAAAACCATCCTGTGCACGCCCCGCGAGCATTATCCCCACTTCACAGACAGGGAGCTGCGGCGACACCTGCGGAAAGCGTCGCGAGGCC